GTATCTTTTCCCCTCTGTTTTTCCTTTCCAGTGATTATTGAGGCTAAAGAAATAGGCTTTCCACTTGAATTCAAAACTGTAGTAAATAAGATGAAATATTTAAAAATATTTGGCTATCAATAACAATTGAATGATCTTCATGTCTGAATTCTTTCTAACCCCTGCAAAATGTGCTATCCTGGTAGCTTTCAAGGATTAAATATGAGTAAGCAACTGTTTGTATATATATGGATATAAATGCATCATTAGATGCATAAACTCTTAGCTGAAAAATTAGTAATATATACTCTCTAAAGTCCATTATATACAAACAAAGGTAATAAGTAACTGGTTTTTACAGCAGATTAGGGATTCTGGTGTAATATAAATCATAAAAACAAAGACTTAAAAGTTTGTTTCCAATATTAACTCAGTGTACAATTAGAAAAATACATCAGGATCAGAAAATTCAGTGATCTGCTCTCCTGAATGTGTCACTTTGTTTTAGATACCTAAGCATATATTTCCTAGAGGAAAGAAAATACATGTTTGTAATAGATACATATTGAAAGAGATTGTAGTGTTGCACCAGTTCTTGAAACAAAAATTACTAGAATTTTGTGGAGGCCTAATCAACTGGTTGTGTAACTCTTCTTTCCCCTTGTTTTCACCCATTAATTACATCAAATTTTAACAGAATCAATCAAGACAGCTGAACTGGGCTGGTATGCACCAGCTTAAATTCAAATTGTTCTGTAGTCTTCATTTTTTCATGAGCAATTGCTGCATTTGCTGCAGGAATACCTTCATGCCCAAGAAAATTGAAAGAGTTTTTGTTTTAAAAAGTGCTTCAAGCAGTGAGGAATTTCAATGATGCAAAAAATTCCATGGCCCATTTCCATGGGAATCAAAAATCAAGTCTAGATTTTAAAAGGGTTCCCAGAACAAAAAGATTGAGCTACTATCTACTGAGCACACAGGATTTCATAAAAATTCACCATATATTTCAGCAGCCTCATGGATGTCATTGGCACTGGAAAATTACACCTGAGAATGTACATTCCTTTCAATGTCTATGCAGTGTTCTAAACACGATTTTATTGAAGGTAACATATCCTAGATTAAACAAAACCAGCTTCAAATTGACTTGCCTGTACAAAGACAAACACTATCTTAACAAGAGCCTCTGGTTTATGAAAATTCCAATCTGCCTTCATGTGCCAGCCCTAAGAGTATCCCTGCCTTTGCTGGTGGCTGGATTCCTCAGGGTGGTGCCATCCCCAGACACCCCGTCCTCCTCTTTCATGCAGAATGATTCTGCTGAGGCTGATGCCAGAAAGTACTTTGATGTGATACTATAAACAGTAGCCACACATAAGGAAAAAAACCCTGCTATTGAAAATAATTTGTGTCCAAACTTTAAATTAAGAAGTCACAGGTTTTTAAGAGGCCACACACCAGGCTGAAGGAGAACCAAGCTCTCCATTATCTCCTAGCTGGACTCTCTCTTCATTTGCCACAACACCTAGGGTCTGAATCACACAGTAGAAAGGATTTGCATGCCACCTCTCCAGGTGTTTCACTCCGCAAGTTTTCTAAATACCGAAAAGAAAAAAAACAGAGCTGCCTTACAAGGGCAAAGTGAAGAATATAATTGTGCTTGTGCAGACTGTTGGATTCTTGTTGAAACCCTGCAGTCCTGGGCCCAGTCCCAGATACAAGTCTCAGGAAAAGCTTTGTTGGAAGGAAGCCTCTAGAACAGCTGCTGTCCCTGACAGATGTGCCAACACAGCAACCAGAGAGTCAGTTTCCATAGTGATTGCAAACTTTGCTCATGTTCTTCCTTCGTCCATGCCAATAAGCAGGCACTGGCTTGCTCCATACCAATGCTATGTGCATATAAGTCTTTCACAAAGAGCACTCTCTGGATATAAGGATCTGAACTGGCACCTGTGGCACACCTCATCTGTGTCTAGTCTCCTCAGGGAAAAAAAAATATTTTGTGTTATCTCTTTCTCAATATACAGTTATTTTTAGAATCATACTACTACTGGCTTTTTTATTATTTCAGACTTCTAAGGATACCCAACACTTTCAAAAGTTGCAAAATAAGGTGAAATTCACATTAAGTGGCATGAACAGCAGCAATAGAAAAATACATTGAAAATCAAAATGCCCTTGTGCATTTAGATAATTAAATTGCAGTGGATCCAAAGCTGTTAATACAATATCTTGCAAGCTACTGCAAGACCTTACAGTACTCATTTTCCTGTGTCGTTCATCCAGTGCACATTTATTTCTCTGTAATGCTCACTAAATGTTATCAGACATGTCTTGATCTTTAGACCTGTTATCTCTTTCCTCTTTATCCTTAATCTCCTTCCCCTTTTTTTCTCTTCCTCTTTAATTTATCATGCATGCTTATGTGTGTGCTATTTCAAAGAACTGTATCAAATTATTAAAGTCAGGGTCATGCATATAAACAGGATTCTTTGGGGCTGAAAGAATGATCCACAGTGAATACTCTTCTCACCCTAATGTGTAGCATAGGTGTTAGAGTGCAGAAATACAAAATGTGGCAAGTGATGTTAGGAGCTGGCAAAATGCAGACACATTATAAATAATAATGGAGATTCTTTGCAAAATGTTCATAATCTGAAACCGAAAATACCTGTGGTGTTGCCTAATTCTATTTGAATTTATAAGAAAAATTGATAATTTCCTAGTGCTTGAGTATCTGAGGACAATTTGTAGATTTAATAATCAGCTTTGTTTTGAAGAAAATCACAGTACCTTTTATTTTGGTCCTGTTAATCTGTTTTTGATAACTGGATCATTAGGTTTTTGATAACTAACTCATTAGGTTTCTGTTCTGTTTCAATTTCAGAGAAAGACTTGAATTTCAGGAAGGTTTAACCAGGAGATAGATTATCTGATTCTGGTGTTTGAGGTGTGAAGTATGGAAAATTAAGAACTTCAGATGTTCCCAGGTTAGGTGCGAGTAAGGTGACGCGCAGGCGATTGCTGCACATCAGCAATGTACCAAGAGCTTCCCTGTTGGTGTTTGAAAGGAAATAGCTACTCACTGTACCAACATCTCCTCCAAACCCCACCCTCCATGGCAAACACAAAAAGTCCTCTCCTTGTTTCCTCTTGATCACTTCTGAAGGATGGTGGTAGGAACAGTGTGCCCTCAAATTTGCCCTCTTCCTGGCGTTCCCAGGAATGTACAATCTATGTACCAAAATATCCTCAGGACACCCCACAGGAAGCCATCTGGGAACTCCAGTGGGGTAATTGGATGACCCTGGAGACTTTCTGCATGTTGTCCTTGAGAGGTCACTTTCCAGTTCCCTACCTGGGCAGGTGGTGAATCTGATTTTGACAGCTACAAAACTGCATTGAGGAAGAAGATACTGAAAGGGACTGGACATCAACCAAGTCAGAAATAAGCTGAGAAAAACTTTTACAACCATGAACCACGGAAACCTCAACTTCCTTTAATCCTTCTTCCAATATCTAGTTGAGGTACAGGTATTTGCACTTGCAAACTGGAAAGTTTTGCTACAAGTTGGGAAATCACCCATTGGAAGTAAAAGTGGAAGAAAAAAAACCCACCTAAACAGATCTGTGGATGATAGAAGGACTCTGAGCCCCACTCTGGGACTCTGAAAAACAGCCCACCAAAAATTGCAATCTGAAGGTGAGAAGTGTCTTCTAGAGTAAAAGAGAAAAAAAAAATGTTTTAGTGTAATTTTTTTTCTAAAGCCTCATTTATGGCAGAACTTATTCACCTCCTATAAAATTTTTTTCCATCTGCAACAGGTGCTTGGAGAGGCTGTGAAAATAGAAAGGGGGGTTAAAAACCTATCTTATGTAACAGAATGGAAGACCTTAACTTTTTCACATAAAAAATGAAGGCTGAGAGGAGATACTATTGCAGTCAATAAATATTTCAGGATGCAAATATTAAGGAGAGAGAGGAGGTCAGTGTTAACACAAAATTATATGACTGTGAATTGGCCATGAATTATTGTCTTGCTACTTTACAAAGTAAAATATAAACCAGAGAATATGTCTTTGTTGATCTGGGTAATATTTTTTTCATTAAATTAAGAGATCGTAACAAGCTCTGTGACAGCTTTGTGTGTTATCATGTGAGATAATGCTGCTATATAAGATTTTCTTTTGCAATCCTGCAAAAAGCAGTTTTTGACCCTTTATCTCTGCCTCTAGTGTCAACCTGGTGAATGAAATGTGCTCAATTGAAATTAAATTCTGGTTAGAAATCAGTAACCTTATTCAGGATTCAAGTTCATTAAGGATTTCTACATAGGAATTACCATCCTATGTAATTACCATTACCAATGGTCTAGACTTGCAATCCTTTGTATAATAAATTGTCTTCTAGCCTGCAATCAAGAAGATTAGGAGCCCTCTTGATTTCATTGTTTAATTGAGTAATCATGTTTTGATTCACAGACTAGTGCTATTCTGTTCAAATGTCATCCTTTCCAGTACATAGTTTCCTCAGAGTATCTCTTACTTTTTCTCATTGTAATAAAAAAACCCCAGGTATTATATCAATGTAACAGCAGTATCAAATGAAGACCTTTACTTATTCATAGCATCCTTGTATAAAAATATTTTTATATATGTTCTGTAGCTGGCTACTTCCTTCTGCACTATAGATTAGTATTGTTCTTAACTTCATCTCAGCTGGTATTTACTGTGTTGGCTGATGTTAGGGACAAAGCTAAGAATAAATTAATCCGTGGAGCTATTTTACCAATTCATCACATGACAACTTATTCATTTAATTATTGATTTACTTACTTACTTGGAAACTTTCCTTTTGCAATAGTAATATAAATGACCAAACCTAAAACACTAATTTATAAAGGCATTTACAATATTTTTTAGCCAGTACCCATTAAAAAAAAAAAAAAGAAAATAGTAAGAAGCCCCACCCAAAACAATTAAAACATCCCACTCAAATCCACAAACTGCACCTTACTTACTCCTTCCAAATCTTGCAGTTCAGCTGAGAAAGGATCATTTTGGCTTCTCCATGGCTATGACTTGGGATGCACCTGTGAGCAGTGATGGAAAGCACCCTCAGGATACTAATCTCCTTTCAGTAACCAGAAAAGTCCTTCCTCATCCTCAGGCTGCTCACTAGCTTGCACACAGAACAGCTTTTAGCTATGTAAATCAGATGCACTTTTACTTTAAAATCGAGTTGATATTCTGGCATCGCAGGACTCCAGGAGTGAGCTGCAGCATATATACAACCAAAATATTCCTCTTTCCAAAGCACATGCAGATATTGCCAGATGTTACTGTGAGGTGAATGTATTAATGAAAACTGTCGTGGTGTTACTTTGCAGCAAACTTGCACTTGACAGTCTGGAAATTCGTCCAAATTCCAGGCATAGGTTAAGTGGCATACTAACACTGAAGAATTCCTTTTACCTGTAAGACTGCCTGTCTAGTTCAGCTGCCTCAATCTTGCAAAAGCTGGTACAAAAACCAGTGCACACAAATACCATAGCCTTCACTTAGTCCAACATACTAACAATTCCTCAGTCTCACTGACAGATTTTGCAAAAATTTTTGCAAATAATTAAATAGGAGCATTGAGAAGTAGATGCAGTTTTCCCTGCAGTCCTGGACTTCCATGCTGTTCTGAGGAATCTCTGAATTGTAAATGAAACATTAGTGGAATCAGGTTCCTCAAATTTGCCATATTCTACTCGGAAAGATTTCAGTATGCAAGTTCTTCCAGTTAAAATGAAGAATAACACAATACTATTGCTAGGCATAATAACACATGAAAAAATATGAAATTATGTACATCAATATTTAGTCATTAAAATAGCATATAAAATTGTAAGACAATGTTAAATCACAAGCTTTAAAGGAAAATAAATTAATGGAAATTAATAATAAACACAGGATTAAATTACATTTTCATTATTTGATAGAAATTTGTTCAGAAGCCAGGAAGACTGGTAACATCTCCTAGGCTTGAGAAAAAGCCTTTCATTTTCAACATTTTGAAATACATAACAAGGCTAAGCATAAATTTGCTTCTGAATGCACTGCTAAATGAATAGTTCATTATTATTTTTAAAGTCAATAATCATTTACATTTGAGTATCATTTAGGAATACTGACAGAAAAAAACCAACATTGAAATGGTCCTATGAAAATATCCTTAGTCATCATAAAGGAATATGCAAGAACGTCCACTGTCCAGTGCTATATTGTTATTAAATTGGTTTTTCAAACAGAACAGTCAACTGCTCTGATAATGCCCGCTCTTTCTCTCCCATTTTTTTTTCCATGATAAAAAGCCTCACCCAAAATTAAGAGATAATTTTCAGCCTTATTTTTACTTTTACCACAACCCTTGTCTGCCTCATTGGGATCATACTCTTATTTCATCCCCTAAAGCAGACTTAGCCACCTCTTTGTCAGGGTTGCCAAACTCACAATCATGATGCCCTCAGCTCCTTCCAGCCTGGTGATGTTGGAAGAAATCCCTGTACATCACAATTTAGGAAAGCAAACCTGGCAGTACAGCATGCTAAGGCTCCATGTGCAATTGGCCACTGCTCACTTTTGTCCAAGAGTAATAATGATGGCAACCATCAGCGTCCCACTTCAGTTTTGGAGACAAGAAAGAGCTAAAAAGCTGGGCTATGTAATGCTGTCTGCAGAGGGAAATTTTCCTTCTCTTTGTGACTTGAGGCAGCTCAGAAATATGGCTTGATCAGTCCCATCCTTCAATGAACATTTCAACATTCAGTGTTGAAAGAACATTTCAACAATAGCCTGTAGCATTCCAAAAAAGTAGTTCTAAACAGGCAACTTTCCCTACTCACTGTCTAGGATGTAGTAGGTGAATGGAGCTCTGAAATGGCAAAAAAGTAAACAGCTTGCTGAAGGAAAAACAGAAGATGGATACTCTCCAAAAGAAACAGATCATACCAATGAGTTCCAAAATTTTCTGGATCAAAATCCAGAATTTGGCAGATTTCCCTACTATAAATGCCTCTAAAAGCATTGCAAAAATTCCTATGTGGAAGTTCCAGTAAAACAAACTTGACATTCTCTATTGGCGTCGGCTTTTCCTTTATATTTTATTTCCTTCCATATGCAGACTCACACTTTCAAAAGTAACTTTAAATATTTATTACCACTATTATTGTTGTTTATTTAAACTTTCAAAAAGACAAACAGTCATCATGAATTTTTGTAATGTATATGGCAAAACTGCAAATTTTGCCAGTGCTGAATATCCTGCCAGTAACATCTGCCATGACTACCATGCCGTTCGTTTCTGGAAAGACAAGTTATCATGCAGAAAGACAGAACATCTTGTAGGCTGAATAAAGACAGGACAAGCTTATGCTTATGTAATACTCAATCCTTTTTCTTCGAAAATCCTTAGGGAAGATGTAAATAGTAGCAAGAAGCTCTATTACCTGTTCTTGGAATGAGACCCTTTAACTAGTAGATTTGCACCAACCTAAAGAACAATGGTTAAAAAAAAATGTTTGTAAAGTCAACAGCTAAAAAAGGTCAGGCTTTTACAAGACAATTTTGAAAGGTTGTGAGGTGTTTGTGAAATGCTTAAAATTTTATATGTTGCTCAGCAGGCTGCAGAGTAAGAAGAGGACATAAATAGTTTAAAAGAAGACTTCTGGTCCTTTAAGAGCTGAGACAGAAGTCTTTTACTTATTCCTCAGGAAAAAAGCTTTGTCGCTATGCTGAATGCCGGATCAGACAGCACGATTCAAGGAGTAAAGAGTCTGACAGGACAGGAAAAATTAAGCTAGGCTTTTTACAGCGCTACAACCCTCTTTCTGAACTGACTGGAAAGATACTCAGGCTCATAAAATAAATTGCACTTTTTTGCATGGCATTCAGGTTCACCAAAGCAGTAGAGAACTAACTTTCTAATAACCCTAAAGTTTACTGCAGCTTTTCCAAAGAATAAAAGCTTTTGCAGTAAGCTAGCAAAGGCATTTTAGTTCACCATGCTGTTGCTAAGTGGTCTTTCTCACCCCTTCTGCACTGTCTCTTCCAGTTTTTACTGGGCTGAAAAAAAATTAATAATAATATCATAATTATTTTCTTAATAATAATGTTAAAAAAAGCTATTTTTTTAACCACTGTCTTTCCAAGGAAGAGCATTGAAATATCTACATATTTGTCTTGTCCATGAGAAGTGTAGATTAGAATGTAAGGAGATCAGCTTCAGTGATGAGCATAATGACCCCATTACTCCCCATCCTCCCTTCAAAGTCTGTCACATTTTAGGCTACCTATAGCTGTGTTTATGCCACTCAAACTTTGCATTGTAAATAGGCTGAAACACTGAGTTATTTTGCATAAATCTCTACATCTTATCATCATATGTCATACTAAAATTTATGAGTGGAGCCAAGCAGACTCTTCATAAAAATATATTAATTTATGTGAGGGAAAGAAATGGCATAATATTATCATTAATATATTACATTACGTATTGATAGTGTCTGAAACATGGACAAACTGAGTTCCATCATAAAACACACTGTATGAACTCGCAGTATCTCAGATCCACAATCAGTTTTCAGTAGCCAGATCTCTCACTATTATAAAGGGGAAAAGTAAAGTAGCAAAACCCACCTGAAATTGGTAGCAAATTAATCCAAGGATAACAGAAGACACATAAGAAGCTTAGTATTGCACTTATACAACTTGATCTCAGTACAAGAGTGTTTTGAGATACTGGTAAACTTTCACATTGTACAATTACAGTGTTTCATTTCCCAGAGGAGTAAAGCTGTATGGTGCTCTGTTGTGTGTACCTTACTCCATATAGAGACAGTTTCTACAGGAGATCATTAGTTCTGCATAAACTTTGTTATAGTTGCACCTTTAAAATCCTTTATGCTTGAAAGATTAATTAAGTTGGATGGCCCTGGAAATGTTATTCTTTTTAAATGCCTCCCTAAGGCCTCTAACTCTTCTTAAACCAAGACTTTCCGCAATTTTCAAGCCACACAAACTTCATTTTCCCACTTATCAACTCAATCTAAAGAAATATCATATATTTGTGTGTTGTTCTTCTTCATTCAGAGATAGGTAGAGAGCCCTTGGGACTTACAGGATCATTATGTTCTCTTTGGCTAGGAGAGAGATTTCATGAAAACCTTTAATTTCTGCCTTGTAAGGTAGGAAACAATGTTCTTCACCACCAAGATTTAATTTGCAATATTGTGGTAATCCTTAACAGCACAAACTTTTTCACCACAAGTGACAACTAGTGGTGCTTCCAGACTGCTGTTTAAGGGTCTCCAGCTCTGTTTTTCTCACAGATACAGCTCCAACTCAGAAATGAGAGATGGATAAATCAAATCAAATATCTTTTCCCTGGTTTTGAGTTCCACTTGTCACTATATTTTCTTCATCAATGTGTGTAAGGCACTGATTGCTGCTAAATCCTTTTCATAGCACTTAGTTTGTGTCACAAATCTTTAAAAAATCGGCACCAAACAAAGCATCTGGAGTATACCCATAAATTAGGCTAATTCAATTTTCACAATGTCATAGGAAGGAGGTACTTAATGAGTGAGGTAATGCACTTAGGAGTTAATCCTCTGAAGTCTTTTATAAATAGTGAAGGCTACCCCTTTTCCACTCCACACCTATCTTTCAGAAATGCTGTCTTCATAATTTTTCTTAAGAATTACATTTATATATATGTGCATATATAAACAAAAAAATCTTTTTATCTACATTTTCAAGCACACAATATTGCTTTGTCTCAATTACTCCAAACTTTTATTGTATGCAAAATAAAACAAGGTATCTGGCACTAGGCCTCTGCCACCAGAAAATATCAGGCTGTATAAGATAGTGTGGTAATGTTAATAGCTGAAGATATTGGAGCAATAGAGACTCTGGACCAGTTCACAGCAAGGTAAATTACTGGCTGCACTTATTACAATGTTCATTTTTTGTTTAATGACATCTTTAAGTGATATTTTACCTACTTTACCGTCTTACTAAAAATTAGAAGATATATGCATTACCATTAATTTATGCATTAACAGAAACAAAATGTAAGGAGATAAATTCAGGTAAAAGTATGTGGGTATAGACCTTAATCATTCTAATGTCTCTATCCAGGATCTCTTCCCCAAAAGCCAGGAGTCTGAAATATGAACTAATCCAAACATTGAAGTGTACT